ACCAGTGGATGAGCAATGCCCGCATGGTCCATTACCAGACCTTGTTACTTAACCCCACTCGGATCAGCTTTTGCGTACCCATAGCATTAAACCCAGCTACTCTGCTGCGGGATCCGGATCTGGAAGTGCCCCTGCATGACTGTGAGCAGATCCTGGCCCAAGCACATAGCCTCAGGCCAGACTTGCTGGACTCGCCGCTATCACATGCCGAGCATACCTGGTTCGCCGATGGCAGCAGCTTCATTCATACGTGGGCGCAGCGGTCACCACGGACACTGAGATAGTGTGAGCAGAAGCACTCCCCCAGGGAACGTCTGCACAAAGAGCAGAACTAGTGGCACTAACAAAAGCCCTACAGATGGGAAAAGGGAAGAGACTAAATATCTATACGGACAACTGGTACCCTTTAGCCAACATGCATGTCCACGGAGCCATCTACCAAGAGAGGAGGCTACTGACGGCTGAAGGAAAGGCCATTAAAAATAAACAGGAGATTTTAAGTCTTATCCGAGCCCTATGGAAACCAGCAAAAATCACCATCATGCACTGTCCTGGTCATCAAAAGGGAGTTGATTCAGTAACTAGAGGCAATAATCTGGCCAACAAGGAAGCGGCCCTCCAGCGCAAAACTGAAGTATTGACCCAGGGCCACGAGCTTTGCCTTCTGTGCCTCAGTCTTCCCAAGAAAAGTTGGAGTGGATAAAGAAAATTCCCAAGGCCCACAAACCCTTGGACAGAGAAGAAAACAAAGACTGGTGGGGAACTTGTAAGGGGAAACTTATCTTGCCACAAGGGCTGGATAAGGGGATTCTTAAGAGAACCCATCGGGGCTCTCACCTGGGAACCCGAAGAATGCAGGACTTGCTCCGACATGCAAAAGTGAAAATTAGACAAGGAAATCAACTTTGTTAAAAATTGTAAGGCCTGTCAGCTCACCAATGCCCTCCAATCAAAAGGAGCTCACCTCCACGGGGACAGGTCAGGTGTGTATTGGGAAGTAGACTTCACAGAAATTAAACCTGGAAAATTTGGATACAAATATTCGCTAGTTTTTGTAGACACCTTTTCAGGATGGGTTGAGGCTTACCCAACAAAGCATGAGACCTGGAACATCGTGGCTAAGAAGATCCTGGAAGAAATCCTACCCAGGTATGGCTTCCCATCCACGACTGGGTCAGACAACAGACAGGCCTTCATCTCAAAAGAAAGTCTGGGAATAGCCGCGGCACTGGGGACAGATTGGAAATTGCACTGTGCTTATAGACCCCAGAGTTCAGGACAGGTAGAAAGAATGAATCAGACTCTAAAAGAGACCTTAACTAAATTGACCTTAGAGACTGGCACAGACTGGGTATCGCTCCTTCCTTTTGCTCTGTTTAGAGTAAGAAATTCTCCCTGTTGGCTTGGCTTTACTCCTTTTGAAATAATGTACGGGCGCCCCCCCCCCCCACTGCCCATCATCCCTAGCCTTCAGACTGAATTGCTTGCTGATTTGGATGATACTGAATTTCTGTGTAAACTTGACTATTTACAGCTTGTGCATAAGAATGTGTGGCCCCAACTTAAAGCTCTATATGACTCTGCTTCTGTCCCTACCCCACATTTATTCAGACCAGGGGACTGGGTGTTCATCCGGAGGTATAACCCGAAATCCTTGGCACCACGGTGGTAGGGACCCTACATGGTGCTACTGACTACACCCACCGCCCTCAAGGTGGATGGCATCACCAACTGGGTCCATTACTCCCACACCAGACCAGCTGACCCCTTTGCCCTGGACAAAGACTACCATGGTGAAACATGGGAGGTCTCCAAGCATCCAACCCAGCCGCTTCACCTTCGCCTCAAGAAAAGAATGTTAGACTAAATATTGTAATTGTCATCATAACCTCCTTATTGCCTTTTTCTCTGGCTACATTGAATAACCCCCACGTTCCCTATTTGTTGACCTGGCAATTTTTGGATGGAGAAACTATGGAAGTGATTAATTCGACGCAAAAGGAATCCCCCCTAGGAGTATGGTTTCCTAACCTATATTTTGATTTAGGTAAAATGTTAGGGAATTCTGGAGGCGAGGACAGATACTGAGTGAGGGTGAGGGGATTTTATGCCTGTCCAGGACCTAGAAAAAAGCTGAGCCGGTGGGAATGCCGGGCATAGCCTGGTATTTCTGTAAACAATGGGGCTGTGAGACCTCCAACAATGGGCCACACAGGTGGGCCTCCAGCTCTAAAGAAAAGGAAGTAGCTAGCTTTGACCCATTCACACCTAGTAACAATAGGTGATACCTGCTACCCAAAGGGTGAACCTCCTTGCTCCCTTGTAGAGATGTCCTTCACAGACAGAGGCAAGGAGTATACCAGGTGGATTTCAACACACGGCTCAGGATGGGGTTTCAAAATATACAAAGGAGGATACCAGGCCCTACTGCAAGCAAGGTTATTGGTGGCCCCCATTTCCAGATCAGTAGGACCTAACCCGGTACTAAGCATACCACCCATGACCAAGCCTACTGCTAAGCCAACCCTGGGTCCTACCTCAGCCGGAACTCAGGGACCCTCTCTTAATTTCACCCTAGCCCCGGGTACCAAGCCGCCACCCATGTATACTTTAGCTTCTTTACCTCATAATAAATTTAATGCAGAAATCCTATATGATCCTAAACCATACTCAGCCTAACCTGACCGAATCTTGCTGGCTTTGCTATGATGTTGCTCCACCTTATTATGAAGGTATTGCTGTCTCTGACACTGTTTCCCAAGCAAATAAGGATGAGTCTTGCAGGTGGAAGTCAAAGGTGGGACTCACCTCGAATCACCAGCTCAGGTACTTGTGTTGGAAGGGGAAAAAACGGCCTCTTTATGTAACCATACTACTGACTATGAATCAGGAACTGACTATTGGCTGTCTCCGCAAGATGCTTGGTGGGCTTGTTCCAAGGCAGGCTTAACCCCTTGTGTATACTCCACTGTCTTGAAGAATCTTAATGATTCCTGTGTGTTGATATGACTGGGGCCCACCATAACATAGTATTCAGACCCAGATTTTCCTTTCTACTTCTTTATCCATTTGGGAAGTGTCTTAACAGTGGGAAACAAATCTCTTTGCAGACCTCCCCACAATAACCTGGGATACATGTTTAAGTCAGCCTGGGGAATAGCCAAGGATTGTGAGATTCAGAACCCCTTGGCTGCTTGCCAAATGAGTTCATTCCATGCTGAGGAGGAGGAGGAGCAACACCTGAAAATGCTCGCTCCTTAGAAGTCTGGAGCCAACCTCCCTAGGAAGAGCCAGGCCAGCACTGCCAAAAGTCCTGTGGTCTGTGCCTCCATAACTTTAGCTGTATGTGTGTGTGGGGGGGGGGAAGGGGTAGATAACAGGATCCACTCCATAATGTTGTCACGCACATTCAATGAGTTAGTAGGTTTAAAGTGCCTAGCACCGTGCCTGGCATAGAAGTGCTTAATGAAAGGTAGCTCAGATTACTCTTTTCTTCTTCTATGCTTTCAGCCTCTAGGGGGCACAGGGCACATTAGTCATTGCCCATTTATACAATTTAAATATTGCCAGTGGAGTTGGGGTGCTCATGCGAGCCCACACGGATAGGACCTGTCTACAACATATTATTCAAAGATTTAAATCTCCAAGGGCCACCCCTGGGGTACCATGTATAACATACCCTCAGGAGGGCTTCACCGTTCTGCTCAAGTACAAGGGACAGAATCAAGCCTGAATCAACCTGAATTCTGGACCCAGAGTCCCCTGATGTTTCTGTCCATCCTGTTATTTTATTAGAAAGGATAAAATTCCTCTAGACACTCAGGAGGCTGAGGCTGGAGGAACATGAGTTCAAGCCCGCCCTGGACAATATCATGAGATCCCATTTGAAGACAAAAAATAGATGAAGATGATTAGCAAAATACCAAATAGAATATTCCATAAACTACCATCCTTATCACCCTTAGTTCCTCCGCTTGTCCAGTGTCTCTGGAAGAGCGATGCACCCTTGACACAGAAATCTAGTTGCTCACTAAGGCTCTAGGTGACCTCAGCCTCGTCACTTCCGCCCTTTTGACCTCAACTTGGTCATCTTTCCGAGAGAGAGTTGGTCAGGATGTTCTCTAATGTCTTCAGCCTACAAAGCATGATATTTGGGTGGAAGAATGCATGTGGAGAGGCCGAGCCATGAATCAGAACTGCTTAGTACCAGAACAAGTAACTGGGCCTCGCGGCACACGAAGCACAGAATGCGCTCCCACGCATGCCGGGTTCAAAGTCGTTTCAAGGCTCCTTTCCCTGAGAGGAAAGGGAAAGATCTGGGAACGTTTGCCAAAGACAAAGAGAACAGAGGAAAGGGAAGAAGTAGAAAGCGGGGAGAATTAGGCACAGAATTGGGGTGCCAGGAGAGACGATGTGGAAGAGGGAGGAGAGCCAGTGGGACACAAGGAAGAACAGGACGAGATACGACAAAAACTGGCAATCCCTTGCGTTAAGCTGCCGTCAGCTGTGAGACAGAGACCTTTCACCGGGCCCTCAACCTGAGCATTGGTTAGTGTTGAACAAGCTATGTTCATAGATCTCTTCCATGGGGAGTGTGTGTTCAAAACCTATCAGGTAAGCTTCAGCAGATAAAGGATTGACACGTGCCACTTGGGCAGGTACAGGGTATGGGAAACCAACTGCTAACCAGAATGCTGGACGTACACACACTGACTCACTTAGCTAACAACTGCTGATCACCTACTATGTGCCAGACCCGATACAATATTAATTCTTATGTCTTAAACCCAACACTGTGTGTGTACAGAGTTAGAACTAGTTACCACGTATTGATTAAATGCATTCATTTATTTTGTTGATTGAGTCTCAGTATGACTTCAGCAAACCCTGTGGAAATCTTCCATCCCTTCCCCTTCCTAAGCATAATACCTGTGGTGTTATGAAAATTCTAGACTAGCCCCTCTGCAATGTTCTTGAAATGTCTGTTTTAATCTCTTTAGGTGCCGTCGGTAGCATGCCCAAACCCAAAACAGAAAGAGGAATACATTCTAAGTGGTGAAGATGACAGGACTTGCTGGAGAGCTGAGAATCCTCTGGCCCCACGAGCACCATGGAGAAAATCAGCTTCTTCTTCAGCGCTATCTGGGACACCATCCTGAGCAAACACCAAGAGGGAATCTTCAACACCATCTGCCTGGCGGTGCTCCTGGGACTGCCGCTCCTGGTGATCCTCACCCTCCTCTTCATCTGTTGTCACTGCTGCTGGAGCCGGCCAGGCAAGAGTAGTCAACAGCCAGAGCGAAACAAAAAGAAGAAAAAGAAGAAGAAAGATGAGGAAGACCTCTGGATCTCCGCTCAGCCCAAGCTTCTTCAGATGGAGAAGAGGCCATCGCTGCCTGTCTAATGAAGCACGAAGTGTCCCAGAGACAAGAGAAGGAACGCCAGAAGTGACAGACTTCCACCCACTGACTACTCATCCAAAGAACCAATCTCACACTTGAGGGTCCCAATGAGAGACAGAGGCACGTGGCCAGTTCTTGCACTGTCTCAGCAGCTACGCCCCCAGTAGCAATGCTCTGCTACAAATCCAAGCATGCCTTGCACTTTTCTCTTGCCTACTCTATGCACAAAAGCACAAAGAATACTGACCCATACACCTTATAGGACTACCAAGTATGCACACCTTCCCAGTCACACATCTGCAAATTCAAACAACAGGCACGTGGGCAGGGTCATCAAATGGCCACTGAATATATACTTTAAGCAAAGCAGTATGTTGAACACACTTGCAGAAATGAGAAGGCACGGCCAGATCTAGACACAGAGACCCAATTCTGCAACCAAGCAAGGCCCGCATGCACTGTCTATACCAAACGCTACTCCGGATGCACAGGTGTGCTTTTTTGTTCCTATACCTACACAGCCTTTTACTGGAAACATGTTTAGACATTCCAGACATCCATAGCATCCCTACTCTGGTATCTATTGGATCAAACACACCAAATTCCTGTGTTTCTGACCTCTTACCTGTGCCTAGAAGTTTAAAATAAGATAGATGGAAATTCATTGGCAGCTCTTGGCTTGCAGCTCATGACAAGGTTCTCATTACCACCGACAGGTGCTTAATGGGTCTGAGATCAATCTGGGATGCTATCTCCTAACCACTCAACAAGATGTCCTTTTTCAAGCATGAGCAAACAGCAGTGACTGCTAAAAAAAAAAAAACAATCTGTGGGATCCCATCCATCCGTTTCAGTGAGGCACAGTGGTGTACCTCTGCTGTGCGGGCACAGATAGAGCAAGGAAGGCTGTACCCGAGCTAAGGCTCTTCCGTGTAACCAAAGGTTTTTCAGTCGAGAAGGAATTAAGATAATCACCAGGAGAGTCTCAAAGAAGGCACAGTGGAAATAATTCCCATCAGGTGGCAATGGTTCATGGTATGTTGCAGGTGGGATGCAGAAGACTTAGTTTAAGTAAAAGGAGGAAGCTATAAAGAACATTGACTACAGTTTTAAAGCTCGGGCAAGGGTCACACACAGTAGGTACTTAAAACTGTGGTTGCTATTCAATTGCTGCAGCAATGAAACTAGTTATTAAGACCAGGGTCGAGTTGATACATGTTCGCTGAAGTGTGTGAGGCCAGATAAACAAGTTCTGCACTGAGCTGAGGAGAGCTTTTCCACACCAGACCAAGTTAATCCACTTCGATGATGAGCTGCCTGGCATTCTGGGCACAGTGTGGCCATGTTAGGAAGATGGGTAATTCCCAGCTTGGAAGTGGGTTGTTTCTAACAGTTTGCTTTCAGATCTGCTGGGGAGCTCTCTTGAAATAGTTGCCCGTGGAAGCTGTTCTAGACAAATCACTGTCTCATTAATAACATGGCTAAAAACTATGATATTTACAGTAGCAAAAAAAACTTAAATTCATGTTAGGAGGTACTCTCCTTGCCATCTGACTCTCCCGGCCCTTGGAAGTGGGAAGTGTTTGGTGGTGACTTTCGCATCAAGGTCTTCTAACAGATACCATATCAATCATAATTTAGCCAATAGGTATTTTAGAGTCAGTCACATTCTCACCCTACATTCTCCTAAACCCCTAAGGTACTCGGGCGCTCTACCCATAAACCCCTTGGCCAGAGAAAGAAGCCCTGATGCTGCACTTCCTTGTTACTTAGAGTGCTGCTTGTGGAGCATCTGGCTGTCCCCTGTTTGTCACGGGATGATCAGCCATTGCCCCACATCTCAGGCCTCCTCACCAGGATGCGCTTCCCTTTCTATCCGCCACCGGGAGCCCCCCACCTCCCCACCCCTGCCCAACTCCCACCCCAAACTGAATGGCTTTGGAAAGATGCAGAGGCTGATAACAGGGTAGAATGTCAATTGTGATCCGAGAGGGTGGATCTTCTGGATCAGGGACCATTCGAGTGACATGGTTTCCATGGCAACTGGCTGCTGGCTTGAATTAAGACAGCCATCAGCTGTCATTGCCAGGACAAGGCAGAGCGTTCCTCCTGTCCCCTCACTGAGTGGACGTGTGCCAGCTCCAGGGAGAAAATCCCCAGCAACTTCTCAGTTGCTCTCCTAGCCTGGGATCCAGAAGAAGGGATCCCAGCGGGATTCCATTTCCCAGCTGGGTCTCTGGGCAGCTTTCCTGGAGTGTTAGCATGGTTGGGGCATGGGCTGGTCCCTCACCCTGTCGCAGGGTAATGCGAGTGCAGAGTTAGAGATAAAAGAGGGCCTTCCTCTTTCCTTATCTTTCTCAAATGTTTTTTTTCTTGCTTGCTATTTTTTCTAACATATTTATAAGATGATTTTTTTGCTGTTGCTTTGTATGTCCCTCCCCCACAGTATAACCGCTGTTTGCACTGTATTTGATGTTGGTATAATTTGGGGAGGGGAAGGAAAAAGAACAAATTGTTTAAATAGGGATACAGGTGGCCCCATTGCAACAATGAGATGTACAAGACGTTATGTCGAAAAACGAATTTTACAACTTTGGTGTGGGGGGGCGGGGGAGGGGCAGTGGAGATGGGAAGGGATGGGAAGGGGAAACAAAGGAGGAGGCAACAATGCTTAATAAGAAATGCACTCATTACCTTGCTCATGCAATTGTAACCCCCTATGCGGTATTTTCACAATAAAAAAAAAGAGGGCCTTCCTCTTTCCCTCCCACTTTATTCCATCGTCCTCTCCAGACGCGTTTCCTCTTCCCTATTGACCGGCTCCATTCCTTTCTTCCTCTCTATTTTCTCTCTTCCCTCCCTAGTTTCTGTTCCTGCCACTGGCACGCAGGGACCCCTCGGGATCTTCTCCTACTTGCTTCATTCAGGGATACTTAGTTAATGGGGTGCAAGAAAAGAGGTATTGTAAAGAAGGGGCCTCCTGGACCACACAGGTCCAAGAGAAGAGGTTGCCCCCGCCTGGATGTCTGGCCCACCTGTCACCTTCATGAAGACCCAGCCAGAGCAAGTGTTCCTCTCCGTTGCTTAATGGGTCCGCCTTGTTTTCATTTCTTGAAAGGAGAAACCAAAGAACAGAAAGGGCGGTCTCTCTTTCAAGAATAATATATACGCGATCCAAGTTGAATAGTATTTGTCAGTATTTTTTTCTGAAAATTCAGAGACATACATACAAGAACAAGGTATTTAAATAAATCTTTTGAAAATGAAAGACTGTGTCTGGACCCCTGACTGTCAGTTAGCACCTTCGCATTCGGCCAGTCACCCCTCAGCAGGGACTCTCCCTCCCCAACACAGAGGCCCAGCCCTGCAGGGTCAGCGAGCAGAGGACAGGGACACGGCTTTCTCACCCTTAGGGCAAAGCCACCCCAGAGCCTCAAATCCTTAGAGGATCCCACAGCAGGAAAACACACTGATAATCTGCCCAATGAGACCAGAGAAGGTCTTCTTATGGAAAACGGGAAGAGCAAACACCTGTGCAAAATCAGAGCTCTGGGGTGATACGCTGAGAAGGGAGGGAGCGAGAATCTATAGTAATCCCAGGCATACGGTGTGTGTGTGTGTGTGTGTGTGTGTGTACCTACGTATAAATGTGCAGCTTTGATGAAGTCAGCCACCGTTTCGCCTTGGTTGGGAAATGAAATGGTTCAGACATAACTCCTGATTTCTCTCCTGCTGATGCTAAGCGTGCTATTACAGCTCCAAAAGGACAGAAAGGTTCTCTATCTACGTTGTCCAAGATGGTGCTGTTAGCCACATGTGGCTGTGTAAATTCACTAAAATTGAATAGTTTTACAGTTACACCCGTCATATTGCAAGTGCTTAGTAGTCACCAGCTCCCCTCCTGGACAGACAGGTGCATAATCTTCTGAGGAAAGCAGTCAGACACTATGCTGGCTATTTTAACGAGGGGTTAGAAGGGAAGGCCCGCGCCATAGGTTCACATTTGGCCCTGTCTTCCCCCAAGGCAGGCTATTTCTATAATGCTGGCTGATTCCTGGATTCATATGCTCAAGGCAACCAGAAAACACAGGCTCCATTCAGTGTCCTATCCATTCCTTCAGAATATTCTAGAACTTTCCATTGCAGGGAAGGATGGAGCCCAGAAACCACCTGGGAAGGCAGCAGCTGCCCCACACCTGACAGAAGCTAGAGCTAAATAATATCATCCCCACTGCCCAGACCCAGCCCACATTCACCAGAGCATTTCCACACCGGGCCCTTGTCCTTGGACCCACATAGCAGCCCAAAGGATTCCTTACCGGCTCTCTCATTCTGTCACAGGCTAAAGGGTTTGTTTTTTCCCTCCAAATACCTTTGTGGGCAATTGCACAACATGACATTTTATTTAAGAATGGCAGCACACTGGTCGGGCACTGCGGTTCATGCCTATAATCCTAGCTACACAGGAAGTAAGGATCAGGAGAATCATTATTTGAGGCCACGCTGAGGGGAAAAAAATATTCTTGGGACACTCTCCCCCCATCTCAAACAATAAAAAGTGTTCAATAAATGACAGGTGTCATTAATTAAGAAGAAATAGAAGGAAAAAAATCACGATGAGTATTGTGTCCTAGAAATCAGAAGAGAATAAACAGCCAAGCACGGTGGTACCCACCTGGAATCCCAGCTACTAGAGAGGTGGAGATCAAAAGAATCGTGATTTGAGGGTAGCCTAAGCAAAAGTTAGTTAAATCTCATCTTTAAATAAACAACATGGGTATAGTGGAACACATCTGTAATCCCAGCTACAAGAGAGGGACAAATAGGAAGAACACAGTCTAAGGTTTCTGTATATGAAAAATAACAGAAGAAACAAGGGCTAGTGTTGTGACTCAAGGGGTAACATCCTTGCCTATGAAACAAAAGTTTCTGAGTTCAAATCCAAATGCTGCCCCTTCCCCAAAAGATGCAGATAGCTCTAATGAAAGAGGAAATTTTCTTGACTTTTTTTGTGAACCATAATAATACAGTTGACAATTTGCAGGAAATAAACGTTAAAGTTGGTTAGAGACAGATTCTATTAACAATAACAAAAGAGAACCATTTTGAATGAGATTATAAAGATTTAAGATCCAGGCCACTGTCTTCCATTCCAGAGGGCTTTATGATACATAAAGAATGCTTTTTATCTTCACAATTGATCCACTTTATACATGAAGAAAACAAGACCCACGAAGGGAAGCCTAGCCCACAGAGGCCTGGGAGGGACATGATTCTTCACCTTTGTGCAGACTCACCTCCTTGCGGTAGGAGAATTACTAAATGCAACCAGGACTCTTGCTCTGGCTGGTTAAGTTCCCAGTTGGCTCTTACAGATGGTGGGCAGGAAGCCTGTCTGCCACCTTAGCCTCCTCTAATTACACCTACTTTATTCGCTAACATAAAGATCTATTTTCATTGCATTTCCCTCTCTCATGTAAAGTACTATTTTACAATACTATTAATTTGCTAATTTTATCCTGATAATTCCAGGCAGTCCCTCTCTTTTGTAGAATGGGTTTTTATGGGCTAGCCTGGGAACCTAACTTCTCTTCCAGGTAGTGCAATGTTGCTTGATCAACTACCAACTGCACTAGCTGGCTGGAAGCTGAGCTGGATGCTGCCAGTTGACTCACCAGAGGATGTCACCCATGAAGGAAGAAAAGTGGGAAAACCCATCCCCCAGAAATTCCCTGTAGGGAAGAAAGTAAAGTGGTGCTGAAGTTGAGAGGCTCCTGGTGAGACCATGCTGCCACCTGCTGGCCATGCCTAGGATAGCAAGCCTCTTGGACCTGGCTGGCAGGCCCCAGTGGTTACTGATCATCAGCTATTGACACAAACTCTCTCCTGATTCTCTTTGCTGCCCTGGTGGAGGGCTTAAGGTAATGAACTGAACTTTTTTTTTCCTAGTGGAAGACCCTTTCTTGTGACTGAATAAATTTTGCCGGGAGCTTTTCACCATTTACTTGTTACTTTGCTTTGGCCGTTCTGTTCCTTCATTTGCTTCTTCTTCCACAACCCACACCTGGTCCCTTTTCCTCTTTGAATCACATTTGTTTGACTGTCTTTCTCCCAGCCTCCATAAGTACTTTCTAGCTGTAATAACCCTTGGATTCCTGAGAATTCTAGACTATAAAACAGAGCCCTGAACCTCATTTGATAGACAAACTGTGGCCAGGCCCCGCAGAACTGCTGCCAAAGCCACCCCGTTCCAAACTCTACTCTGCAATGACTGATAGGAACTCCCGCCTTCAAGGCTCATCACCCTCAGCTCCTGGTGACTCCTCCTTAAGATTTCTTATCTTGTCCTCCTCCCCTGAACCCCCATCTCTGCCACTGGCCAAGAAACTCATTACATCTTTCCTAAGCTATTAAAATGCCCCTAAGCTGATGTGTGAACTTCCATTCTTCCCCTAACCCCACTCCAATCTGCCCAGAGATGATATAGTTTAATGGGTGCAGGGCACAGCTGAATAGAAGTCATCATTTCTAATGTGCTGTAGCTCAGTAGCGCAACCATGGTTGACAGTGATTAATTGTGCATTTCAAAGTAGTTAGGAGAGAGGATTTTGAATGTTCCCAACACAAAGATGTGATAAATGTCTGAGGTGATAGATATGCCAATTACCCTGATCTGATCATGACACACCACATACCCACCATCAAATGGCACGCTGTACCCCATAAATATATGCAATTATAATATGGTAATTAAAAATAAAAATACTTCCTTTAGAATGTATTCTAATATTGATAGAATGTATTCACAATATTGCCACTAGACTGCTTCCAAGATCCATACTATGCCAAGGTTTTAAAACCTTGAGCGGGTGGCTCACGCCTTTAATCCTAGCTACTGAGGAGGCTGAGCTCTGAGAATTGTGGCTCAAAGCTAGCTGTGGAAGGAAAGTCCATGAGACTCTTATCTCTGACTAACTGCCAAAAAAGGCAGAAGTGGAGCTATGGCTCAAGCAGGAGAGCACTAGCCTTGACACAACAGCTCAGTGACAATGTTCAGGCCCTGAGTTCAAACCCCAGGATGGGCACCTCTGACACTCCTGCACTGTTCAAATGCGTTCATGTGGGCTGTGGCTTTTACCCCCGGCTGTGTGTTATCGTCTCCCGAGTCACTTTGAAAAGCTTAGATGCTCAGCTCTCACCCATGACCCACGGAAGCAGTATCAAGCAAGAGGACACATCAGAGCTCACACAACTCAGAGCCACTCAACTGGTCTGACAAAAGCAAGACCTGCGGCCTGAGACTCTCCCCCAGGCTCTCCCGCCCACCGTCCCCTGTCTTTACTCCTAAAAGCATTGGCTCCCAGGTAGGTCTGGTGACCCTTCTTCCATACCTAATCCTGACTAGTCACCTCCCCAAACGCTCCCACAGCCCTGCTGATTCCATGCTGTCTCCCCACAGTCCCGTGAGACAGAGGGGCTGGTTTTGCTCACCACTCCCTTGCTCGTGTCTGGCATGGTGCGGCGTATACACGTGTCATACACAAGAGTACACAGTGCTCTACCAATTTTTACCCAAAACGTTGGTCTGACTTCTGTCCCGGCTCCTCTGGGGCCTGGCTTACTGGTTATCCCTCCTCACTGAGCTCTTGTTTGCTTTGTGTTTTCCTAAATGGGAAGGCTTTCTTTCTGTAAGTTTGTAACCTGGCTCGAAGAAAAGCATTTGGCCTTCTCTGAAAAGCAGATGCACCCCAAAACACATTCCAGGGGCCGTGCTCAGCCACCCAATGAGAGCGGCAGGGCTGTCACGTGGAAATGTCGTTAGGCACAGAGGTTCGGGCTTGGAAAGGTTTGTTTGCAAGCAAATTAAACAAGCTTGGAAAATGAGTTGTCCAGACTTTCTCACCTGCACAGGAGGACCTTCAAAGGCCGGCGGAGTCTCCCACGCCATCTTCTCGCTCTGTGGCAGCATCCATCCAGCAAGCAAGAAAACGCAAGAGGCAACACAGATTTGCCCACAAGTCTCCTTCAGGGGAGCACTGGAGAAACGCTGGGGTCAACGGATGTGGGGTGTGCACTCTGCAATCTGCGGTCACCAGAGTCCTTCAGAGCACAGACAGCATCACCCCTCTATTAGAGCTGCTCTAGGCAAGGGCACCCCGCCAGCAGGAGGCCCCAGCCATGAAAGAGAGCCCAGCAATCCAACTTTTTTTTCTTTTGTCGGTCATGGTCCTAGACACTGTCCCTCAGCTCTTCAGCTCAAGGCGAGCGCTCTACCCCTTGAGCCACAGCGCCACTTCTGGTTTTCTGGTGGCTCATTGGATAAGAGTCTCACAGGCTTTCCTGCCCAGGCTGGCTTTGAACCTCAATCCTCAGATCTCAGCATCCTGAGTAGTTAGGATTACAGGTGTGAGCCACTGGTGCCCAGTTTACCAATACAACTTTTAAAGGGCACATCTGGCTCACAATCTGTAATCCTACTCAGAAGGCTGAGGATTGCAGCTCAAAGCCAGTCCAGGCATGCAGATCCAAGAGGCTCTCAAGTCCAATTAACCAGCAAAAAGTCAAAAGTGAGGGTGTGGCTCAAGTAGTATAGCCAGCCTGGAGTGAAAGCAAACAAACAACTAAGCAAGAGCTTGAGGCAAAAAAAACAGTCATGGCAAGAAGCTTTGTTACAAACCAAGGCCACAGCCGCCATGCTGCTTCCCCAGCCCTGGATCTGAGCCACTTTGCCAAGGCGGCAGATCCCATCTAAAACACCCGGCACCACCCCTTCCTAGGACTAGCTCAAGAACTTTAAACTGCAGAGGGAAGACCTCTCATCAGCTGGAGGAGATGACTGAGTGCTGACAAGCCACACTGAGGAGCCTTGAAGACACATGAGCGAATCCACTCAGGTTCCGGCCCTAATGCTGAACAAAACGACAAAACGTGCCTGGAGCCAGCGGCTCACGCCTGTAATTGGTCTCAGGAAGGTGAGACCTGAGGATCTCTGTTCAAAGCCAGCCTGGGCAGGGAAGTCCATGAGACTCTTCTCTCCCATGAACGACCAGAAAACCAGAAGTGGTGCTGTGGCTCACCTTGAGCTGAAGAGCTGAGGGACAGCGCCCAGGCCCAGAGTTCAAGCCCCACAACTGACAAAAATTAAAAAGAAAAATAGAGTGTGGGTTGGCATTCACCTGGAAATCCAACCTGGAGAAAGCTAAACAATAACCTACACCCCCAGTCTGAGGGGGAGACATTCATCTTCCGTCCTACCCCTGCACCCCTGCTGCGTCCCAAATACCGTAATTTTCCATCACCCAGGTGAGCCAGCACAGACAGCCAGCGGCCGCCGCAGTGAAGCAACGGCAGCTTCACCTGCGCTCAGGGTCAATGCAGAGTTCAAGCGCACTTACCATGCAACAGAACACAAGGGAACGTTTTTAAATCAAGTGGTTTATTGGTTTGTTTGTTTTCTTGAATAGGAATTTTAAGTTACTTCAATGGTCACTGACTTGACTGTAGAAACCTTCCAAAATGATAGCAAACAATCTGCTACACCAAGAGTCCGGTCTAAGGGCCACATGGTGCGTAGCTTAGAAAACCTAGGGGGTTCAGCAGTGTAGAACCCAAGGAAAGGCACGTGAAGGGGAGTCGGGGAAGAGGTTGAGTAGCAGAGCCAAATTATTTAAAGTCAATATGCATAGTGATTTATTTGCAATACATGAAGATGGAGTGGAGCAGTGGCCATCATAAGCAAGCCCCGGTCTCCAGCACGCTGAAGAGGAGCGGGAACTGAGCCTAAATGGGCGTCTCAGCCCCTCCATTCCTCCCATAATGCCAGCGATTACAAGGGGACAGGATTTACACATTTCCCCTCAAACCCTACGGGGTTGGAACTGGAGCAATATGCATCAGGTTGCCTTAGCCCTGGCTCCTGAATATCTGGTTCTTCTTTCTAGAAGGATCTGGATTACGCAAGCTTTATCTCTAAACAGCAATTTCTAGAGCTTTCTAATTGATGAGGTGCTGAGTGATTGGTATTTTTCCCTAATCTAATCTGTCTATGGCTGGGAGACCTTGCAGGTCCAGTATCGTCCCTTCATCCGCCCATGCGGTGAAACCATGATGTTACTGATTTGCAGCGTCCCCCTCCCCCAGAAGAGATGGGTGAAATGCAACATGGGAGACCTTAAGCTTCAACGCATGGCGACAGTGTGTTCTGTGGACAATCCCGCTATCACAGAATCCAGAAGCTATGAGCCACCTCAGTCCCCAGGCGCCACCACCCGCCCGCCCCAAGCTCACACCGCCCAGCCCCAACCCCAGCTGCTAGTCTCCTGCCAAGATTGCTCATCGGTATCTTCAGAACATTCTCATCTTTCCTGCCAGTGACCTCTTCTTTCTGCCGGAGAAACGATCTCGGCTGTAGCCATGAGGGCGGATTTTCAGTTCCACATAAGGGATGGAGAATTCATGTCCTTTCCACGGCTCCCAGTTCACCCCCTCGGAGAAAGAAAATGCTTCAAGTTAGAGTATAATAGAACCCTTATTTGCCAGTGAGACGTCTCTCTCTCCCTCTCTCTCCCTCCCCCAGTCACTCAGGGTAAAACATCTCTCTTCATTGGTGTCTCTCTATATGCCCCCCTTCCTTTTTAGCCTCCCTGCTTCTTCCCCCATAGGATCCGGGGCTTGAGAATCACATCTGAAAGCACGCGCCCTCTGCTGGGCAGCTGGGTTCATACATGCTGAGACGACCAAATGGGAAGCTGGACTCATGAAGGGATCCCGGGATGTGGTGAGGCCAAAGCAGCCACAAAGTCAACACAGAGGTCAACCTGGCCAACAATCGGCAAAAGTTTCCTCTCACTCTTTGCCTTTCCGAAAAATTAAAGGCAAAAATAAACGTATTAATTGGCCAATTGTGTAAAATCATTTTCAATTTAGACTGTTTAGATATTAGCTCTGGGGGTGACGAATAGGCGGCTCTAAACTAAATTTCATTTTATGTCTTTTGACTGGTGAGCGCAATAATATTTAATTCACTTAATAACCTTGCAACCTGGCCAATAAACAGCCCAAGTGACCAATTTTATGTATTTTAATTTGTGAGGTAAATAATAAACAAGAAGCTAAATGTCTTGCAGACTGTGAAGAGCTCATTAACCAGATGAATGTCTTTTATTAGCAAATATGGGGCTGGTTTAGGGCCTGCTGGCTGCGCATTCCAAATATTTGATCTCTGATCACCAGCGTCTCTGCGCCGTTCCTCACGCTACCACCATAATTCATGAGCTACCCTCCTTGGCGTCCCTAGGGGTGAATTTCTTCTTCACTTTGAAAAAACATACACAGATTTGCAGTCCTCATAGCCTGGTGAAGACCAGAGTAACCAAAAATGTACCTGGACATTGAAAGGGCTAATATCTACAGTTGTATTGGTATAGGCTTCCTGAAGGCCAGGCTCAGGACCTACCATGGGAAAATCAAAACCCAGGGTGGATTTGTGGGGGGCAGAGGATTAAGGACAAGGAGGAGCAAGGATGCAATTTTGAGAAGCTGGGAGGGGATGCCTGGTGGCTGACAGCATCAAGATGATATAGAGGACCGTGGAGGTTCAAGCAGTTATGGATAGGAAAGCTTCAGAGCCAGGACAGAAGAAGAAAAGAACCTGCGGGTCTCTCAGCCCAGGGGCATACACAGATACAGAGACAGGTCCAGCACAGAGTTCTGCACAGACTCGGGGTGGCACCAGCTAAAGTGGATCCGAGAATGGGTGTTTGACCTAAGGCAGAAGAAGTGTCTGTTTTCCTGGTGAACATGGGACTAGAGAGAAATGATGGTCATTTCACGAGGAGAACTGCTAGAAGCATGTCTGGCTATGGACTGAATGTGTCCTTCACTAAAAATGTATTTATAATTTGAGACCCTTGCCCACAATGAGACAGGCCGAAGAAGAAAGTCTTTGGTAGATAATAAATTTAGATGAAATCATGAGGACAGAACCCCTCCATGAGACATAAGAAGAGGAAGAGAATTTTCTTCTCTCTCCCACTTTCTCCCCGCACTGCACCGCTATGGAGGATACAGCTAGATGTACAAGCTGCAAAATGATAGTAAGCCAAGAAGTAAGGTCCTACCAAGACTGAAATCTGCTGGCACTTTCATCACAGATTGTCAAGCCTCTAGAACTATGAGAAATACACATTTGCTGCTCGAATCCCTGGATCTGTCGGGTTTTGTTATAACAGGCCAAGCGGATTACAACATCATCGATGTATGAACTGATCAAATGGATGTGTGTGACCCACAGCACTGGTCTCTTTGTGGCAAGGGTCCACCCAATCTTTCCATTCATCTCCAGTCTTAGAATACAGAGCCTACGCAGCACCAACAAATGGGCAGGGAGGGCCATGTTGACTTCAAAGCTATAAAGCCTGGATCACCAGGTGTCACTAGAAGCCTCAGAAAGAGGAGCCACCGGACTCGCCTGGAGAGAACCCCTAAGGGGAGTGAATGTGGCCAGAGCTCGGAACAGAAAAGATGCTCGCCTGTCCCCTACCTCGCTATGCTTGGTCTCCCCGTATTTGCCATTGGGGTTGGCCAAGTGGCAGTTCTTATACCACCAGCCACCATGATGTGTCAGGGCACAGTTGCTGAGGGCAATATCGTTGTCTCTGTCAAAAGTTGTGAACTTCCATCCATTGTGGTAAGTGAGAGCATCCCCTGTGAGAGAGAAGGAAAGGGAGATGGTCAGCAAAGTCTTCCCAGAAGAGGACCTGTAGGGAAGTGCCAAGGATCCACTCAGCTATGGCTCAGGCACTCACTGCTGTCTCAAAATGGCCAAAATGAGAGTATGGCACACGTTCTCTTGCTGATTTCTCCAGCAGCCTCAGCAACATTGTCACTTGGAAGTTTCTAATCCACATCAAATGTCTGACCACCCCTCAGAAGCATTTCCTCTGTCTTCCTCCCTCTGCATGGCAATCCCTCTCCTCCCAACCAACCAAACCGAAACACCCCGCTTCGTATCCTTGCTTCCATCTTTCCTTCCCGAATCGCTCACACATCCGGCCTCTCTGCCTGCGGCCGCCCCTCCTAACCTCTTCTCCTCTCTGTGGGGCTGTGTTAACCCAACAGCCTTCTTTCTCTCTGGCTTCTCTTCTTCCAGCCCTCTGGAGATCAAAGGCCTGCATCCCATCCTCTCCATCCCAAATCCTACTTCTGACACGGGGAGGGGACTTGCACCTGCTGATTTTACAGGCTTGTTACTCCAAGGAACAATCTCTGATCCCACAGACCAGACCCACCAGGAACCTTCCAGGTCTGGAGTGAACAACTCCTCCTTCTACAGTCAAACCCTCTACTCCTAAGGATGAGGATTCTCCTCACTGAGCCTCCTAACACTTTGTCTCTCTGTGTTTCACACACACACACACACACACACACACACACACACACACACACACCTTCCTCCTTTTCTGTCTCTGTCTCTCTCTTTCACACACACACACACACACACACACACACACACACACATACATACTGAGCTTCTAGAGCCCTTCAGGGACATGTGTACAATTTAGTGCTTCATTACATCCTGTCTGGAATCTGCTTTAATTATTTTACTTGCACTGCACCTATTTCCCTCTCCCATTTGTCATCCCTTTATAAGTTTACTTTCTCTTTCAGCTCATCAAAGGCAATAAGGGCCCCTATCAATCATAAGCTTAATCAAGTTCAGTCCCTGCAATAATGGCGCTTACATTTGTATCTAATCTCTGAGTTCATGGCTCATCTTCACACGTGTGCTCTCACTTGACTCTCCCAGGCCCATGAGGAAGGCAGGCAGCCCCCGGATCCATGAGAAAATGAACTCATAGGGGTTAGACACTGACTGGGTACTTGTTAAAACAGGTTCCACGGTCCACAAATGGCAGAGCCAGAACTCAACTGATCCTGAGAAACTGATTCACCTGTAGCTGCTTTAATCCAACAGGAGACTTCAATTACACTAGCAAAAGCAGGTCATCTCTAATAGCCTACACCAGTAGTTCCCTCATTGTGGTCTTGGGACCAGCAGCATTATAACACCAAAGAACTTGTTAGAATGGGAATTCTCAAGCTCACCTCTGGTCTACAGAACCAGAAAGTACATACATGGTCAGGGGGTGGGGGGGAGCCCTCCAAATGATTCTTATACATGCTGCAACTTTATTCACTCATTCAGAGAAATATATCCTGGACACCTGCTATGCGCTAGCACCTTGCTAGCCTCCGAACATATAAAAATCAGGAAGCAGCAGAAGCTGTGGACCAAGTGGTAGAGCACTAGCCTTGAGCAGAAAAAAATTAAGAAACAGTGCCCAGGCCCTGAGTTCAAGCCCCAATACCAGCACAAGAAAGGAAGAGAGAGGAAGGAGGGAGGAAGGGAGAGAAGGGAGGGAGAGAAGGGAGGGAGGGAGGGGAAGGGAGGGAGGGAGAAAAAGGAGGGAGGAGAAAAAAGAAAGAAAGAAAGAGAAAGAAAGAAAGAAAGAAAAAAGAAAGAAAGAAAGAAAAAAAGAAAGAAGCAGAAGTCTTTGTTCTCAAAATTTAGTTGGGATGAATGGAGAGGGCACATGAAGTGCTGGTAGGGTCTGGAGGTATAGCTCAGTGGTAGAATGTGTACTTTGCAAATGTGAGGCCCTAGATTCAATTCCTGTGCATGCTCCCATGCATGTGCATGTACACACACACACACACACACACACACACACACACACACACACACACACACACCCCGTAGCACTTCGTGCTTAGGGAAGGTCTCAATTTCCCCCTCCAATTCCGTCATTCCAACAGCAGCTGATTTATGTCTCACGCAACAAAGGCAAGAGATGTGAGCACAGGGTCAGAGAGTCCTCCACTCTGACACACCAAAACAGCCTGTCCTCATTAGTTTTTCCCAATCAAAAAAAGCATAGTCACTCTTCCACATATATTTCCCCCTCCCTCCAGACTGCTTGCGGATAGTTAACTACAGCTTGAAATAACACATAATGACTCTCCCCTCGTAACATCTTCTTAATGAACACAGCTTCTCTAACTAGCACTCCAAGTTCCCAGAGATGATTTCTAAGATCTAGGCAGAGACTTTTGGGGTTATCTAACCTTGAATACTGGTTAAAAAGAAAAATAAAGCAGAGCCCAGCCTATGTGGGACACTTTGTTTATTTTTTTTTTGCAGATAGATTTCCTACCTAGTAAGAACTGAAGTCTTTTTAATGTTCAGAGTACAGATGATGACTATATGCATAAAGCAGGAAATAACTTTACTTGGGTCATCAGGCCCCAGCTAAGACAGTATTCTGATTTATTTTCAAGCTTATCTTTCTAAGTAAGACAAAGTTAAGCCAGGTGTGGTAGTGCATACCTATAAATTTGCTCTGGGGCTGCCCATGTCCTGGTTCTAATCAAAGTTTTAAAAACTTGCAGAGCTACACGTGCCTAGTGACTTTTAACTGTTCACCTTCTATTTGAAGGCCTATCTGCTCCACCCCCACCCCTCTCCCCCTGCCCCCCCCCACATGAGCCTTTCCGCATACAGAAGAAAAGCTAAAATTCCTGATTCTACCACTGGAATTCAGGATTTAAAGTAGGAATGACAGTACACATGGGAAGACTAGATGGCTGCCTAAATGCGGTGTGATTTCAGTCTCCCAAGGCTTCCTATTAAAAAAAAGAAGAAGAAGAAGCCATCCTCCACTGATTGGCCCTGTTGGCCTGAACAACTTTCAAATGGGAATTATTCCCTAACCACAGTTAAAATGTAAATTAAGTACCTGGGAGGAGGATCATATTAATTCATAAATATGTTGACTCCTTTTCATTCACTTTCCTATTAGCATCAGCTCATTTGTTGGATTGTGTGAAATAGACCCAGAAAAAGAAAAATTTAACAGTGATGAAAGGAAAGGGGAACGAACAGCCCACAGCCCGCAAGACTGCCCTTGGGAAGTCCCAGAGAGGAGACCAAGAAGGGAGATGTATTCTTGGGGAGACACAGGGGCCAAAAGGACATACTAGCTCCATCAACTGTCCAGAAAAAGGGACTATAAATGGAGACTGAGTGTTTCTCAAGCCTGAGAAAGGCTGAGGCTACCTAGTTAAGAATAGAGAAGAGCTCTACTGATGGACACACACACACACAATTACACATCTCTGAGAAATTTTGTATTAGTCATTGGCAAGTCCAGATCAAGTCCCCGCACTCAGGTTCTGTTCGTAGTCATCTGCCGTCAGAGGTCTTTGAGTGGTCAGTTTTGAGAAGCCGTCAAAAGTACATCCCGATCCCTTGCTTGCACGCAGCCCTTGCTCTCCCATAGGCTCCTGCAGACCCAGGGAGCTCTTGCTTTTCTGCTTCCCACCGGGGTGAGCTCTTCCTTCTGAGCCAGCTCCAGCCTATGTCCTGTAGGGAGCTTCCTCCTGCCACCGACTCCTCAGTTTACCCTTCTCCACTCCCTGGCTCTTCCTTCACTTGCCTGACTGCAAAAGTTACCCCGCATACATTGTTTTAATGCCAGCCCTGGGGCTTGAACAAAAGGCCTGGGTGCTGACTCTGAGTTTTGTTTTTTTGTTTGTTTGTTTTTTCTCAAGGTTAACACTCTACCACTTGAGCCCCAGTTCCGCTTTTGGTTTCTATTGGTTAATTGGAGAGAAGAGTCCCATAGATTTTCCTGCCTGGGCTGGATTGGAACTGTAATTCTCAGATCTCAGTCTCCTGCGTAGCTGGGATTCTAGGTGCAAGCCACCAGCTGGCTTGCCTTGTATTTTTATTCCTCTCTTTACATGTGAGTCTGAGAGAGAATGTATCTTACCCAGTCAGCTGGTAGCATGTTCCCACAGTTATTCCAAAGTCAGAATGGTCTTACTTTGTCTAAATACAGACTTTAAAATGTTAACATCAAAGCAATAAACTCATGACATCTCTTCTTAAATAAAATATTTCCTGGTATAACTCCAGCATTTTAGTCACGATGCTGAATTTTGCTCATTTCCTTCACAATGAACACAGTGTCAACTGGCTGAAATCCAATGAGCAGCTAATGGAGGCTAAAGATTCCCTGCTTTCAGCGAAAGTGTTCATTGCCGTGGTCGCGGCTGTATTAAGCTAATGAGACCTATAGTTCTTATTATTTGAATCAGCACTTTCATTTTCTGTCTTTAAATAGTTACGCGCGCACATACACACACACACACACACACACTGCTACACAGACAAAGATGACAGTATTGCTGAAGCCTAACAAAAATTTGAACACATCATGGAATGTGTCACACACACTCACTTCCTCAGCTAATTTGTCAATCCTGAATCAATAGAGCATAATAGGAGCATGTGGTTGAGGAATGGTCATTAATTGTAACAACTTGGTTTACCCTCAACCCTTGTCGAATAGAACAATTCTCTTCCACAGAACAATATTTTGATCCCCAGATACCTGGTAACCCAGTCCTCGAACAACAAAAAGCAAGCGCACCGTGGGCGTGAGGAAGCCCTCTTACCTGCTGTGCCCCTGTATTTCCCCACTGACAGCTTATATCGTTCCTTGCTGGAGGCCACTTGGAAGAAATCATACACCGCGTAGGCAGATTCATTGGAAGTCTGTAAATCCGCCCTCACCTCATACCGGGTAGGAGTGCCAGTGGTGAGATTGTGCAGCTTGTCAAGGCCTGAAAGCAAGAAATGGAATTTCAATAGCCTATCAATCTCTGTGTGCGTGTGTGTGCGCACACACGCACACGCGCATGCACACGTGCACATGCACCTGTGTGCACACACGCGTGCATTCGCCATTTGCTTCTGAGATTCATAGGGCCAAAAGTCACCTTAGCCTTTGTCTTTTCTGCTAATAAGTGAGGATTGCTAATTTCCTTGCCCATTTATTTGTTGGCACTGTTAACTCTAATGACCTCTATGGAAGGGCTCTGTAGAATAGCTCTGCCCACTAGCTCCATCTCTCTGAGACAGAAGCAACTCTATTTATCATCCACACATCTCACAAATAAAAGAGCAGATCAGCTACTCATTCTCAGCCCTGTGAAGATATCTTGGTCTCAGGCAAACTGTAGATATCATCTACTCCGTGCAGATTTCATGTTCTGAATTGCGCATTTCCCAACTGGTGCTTTTTTGGCTATTTCGCTGTCTGTGAACATCTGCTCCAGAAGAGAGCAGAGGGAGAAGGGGAAAACTAATACCCACAAGGTCTGGCGTTACTAGCAGAATCACAGGGGCTGCTAGAAAGTCATCCCAAGAAGAAGCCAGGATCCCAAATCAATGAACTCTTTCTATTACTGTGATTTGTTGTTGTTTTTAAAGGAAAAAAAACTAGGCCCCAGGCAGCCCTAATAGAGCTAAATACAGACTAAAATCCTACTTCTTCACAGACCCAGAGTGCAATACGGCCTGCCCACGAACATAGCCACATTTACACAGTGTCACTGTCGCTTGGACACCTCTTGGAATGTTGTAAGCTTCCTCAAGCTGCCGGATCGGCTAGTCAAGAGGGCAATTATCAGCCCACACACCCAGCTCCTGATTCTTAGGTGTCATACCAAGCCAGAACTCTTTCATGGGATCCCCAAAGCCTTCCACATAGCTCCGCCAACGCTTGAAGAAATCCAGCTGCCCGGTGTTCCGTCTCTGGAAGACCTGAGAAAAGAAATGCAAACCTCACTCTGATACTCTGATCAGATAACTAAGTAGAAGGGGAATAGTACGTGTATTTCCCAACGTGTTGCTGGGAGATGAGAGGAATCTGCATTACATTGACTTCCTCGAGTAGCTCATCTTCATTTTTTAGAAAGGATCTTAATCAGAGATTCAATATATTTGTCTACTATGACAATAAGTGATCTCTAGATGGTAAAACGTACCTAGTACTTCACAGAGGATTTTTTCCCTTAAGAAATTTCAATTATAGAGCACAGAAAAACTCAGGGAACTAGGTTAGTTCCTAGTGATGGGTTCTAAAGGACAGAACAGACCAGACTTTTGCTAGTTCTGATCTGAAACCTTCAACAACTATTCAACTCAACTGGGACACGTTGTATTTATATGTTGTCTTTCCTCCCCTGCTCCCCCCAGAATTAGTTCCCTTCACTTCTAACGTAACAAGCATTGAATATTTATAGAGAAAAAAATTCATCCAACAAGTATTTGTTGTGTATCAACTATGCAAAAAGGCACAATACAAGATGATGTACAAAACCAATAAACCAGAAATGGTCTCTGCCCTTGTAGAGCTAATAGATCAGTAAACAAAATAGACAGACTGAGTAATCAAATAAAAGATGCAATTTAACCATGACAAAGGCTATGAAGGAAATATACAATAGGATGTGAGAACATAAAACAGGAGAACCTAATCAAGGAGCCAGAAAAGCTCCCTTGGGGAAGTAGCTGAGAGATGCAGGATACGTAAGGGGGGGGGGGGGGAAACAACAACAAAGAGTCAGAAGCTAGGTGGTTGGGAATCTGGGTTTGGTTAGGAAGGAGTGAGAAGGAAGGCTAAAAAAACAAGCAAGAGTCAGTGCTGGTGGAGCTTTTTAGTAAGCATTGCTGAAGATGTTAGCCCATTGTACGAGCAATGAGAGTTACTGATGGCTTCTAGGCTGGAAATGAAACTGTTCATATTTACATACTGCTGAGATCCATCTCTAATTTCAGTGTAGAGAACAGACTAGCCAGGAACAAGAGTGGAAGAGAGGGAACTAGTTAGGAGGCAACTTCAATGGACAGGTAAAAGAGGACAGTAGCTTGGATTACCTTACCCTAAGGACAGACAGAAGAAGACAGAAGGTAAACTTGACAGGCAGGATAATAGAACATGAGTAGAGGGGCTGGGAAGATGGCTCAGTGGTAGAGTGCTTGCCATGCATGCATGAGGCCCTGGGTTCGATTCCTCAGTACCACATAAGCAGAAAAAGCCAGAAGTGGTGCTGCGGCTCAAGTGGTAGAGTGCTAGCCTACAGCTGAAGAGCTGAGGGACAGCGCCCAGGCCCAGAGTTCAGGCCCCACGACTGGCAAAAAAAAAAAAAAAAATAGAACATGAGTGGAAAGAAAAGGGAATCAAACACAATTCTTCCCATTTGGCTTCAAAAACTGGATGACCATTCATTATCATTCAGAAAGGAGGTTCCAAGAAAGGATAGATTTCCTTGTCATGAGCTCATTTGGAGACTTGGTGTGAATTCTTTGCATGTGAATGAAGATGTCACCTTGACAACTAGATGCCAGGGCTGGAGTTCTGCAGAGACTTTTAAGGTGGGAGTGTATTCTCCAGAAGCCCAGAAGGTTTCCTTTTCAGCTTCCCTTGCAGCTACGTAGAAGCCATGTGATTACTCATAGCACCGAGAGTGTTGCTAGGAGGACAGGATAAACAGGTGACGTTTTCCATGTTCTCTTCCATTACCACATGCTATGGTGAAGGCTACATGTTGAAATGGCAGAGCCACAGGATAGAAGCAGCCTAAATCTCTGTGTCACCCGGCTACCAAACCTACAATAGATATTGTCCACGTGAACAAAAAGGCTCACGTGTTAGATTGTTGCATTTGTACTGTATCATAACCCATTCCATCTCATTGAATATGGAGAGACACTGGAACAGACATGGAGAAATCAAATCATGCAGAAGGATGAGGTAACATGGGAAGGAAATAGGAGTTAAGAAGTGATAACAGAAAATGATCCAGGATCAAGACTTAGGTATATTTAATAGACATGTGTACAATGATGATTTCATTAGGGAGAGAGAAGAAGCAACTAGAACTATAGGAAGAAAACTAGATGCTTGTAGAAGCAGAGAAGCCACTGAGAGACATAATGGTCAATAGTGTCAAATACTAATGAGAGGTGAAGGAACGAGAGAGCAAAACTGGTGCTAGAATTTATGCCATGGGAATGACCAATCACTTTAGCAAGAGAAATGTAATATAATATAAACATTAGGGAAATGGAAGGGAGAAGACACAAAAGGCTACCTGCCAGGCCTTGGTGGCTCACACCTACAATCCTAAGGGAGACTGGGATCTGAGAATCCCTGTTTAAAGTCAGCCTACACAGAAATGTCCAAAAGACTCTTATCTCCACTAAACCAGAAAAATAGCCAGAAGTGGAGGCATACTCAAGTCACAGAGCACCAGTCCTTGAGCAAAAGGGACAACTGGAAAGAAAACATGAGACCCTGAGTTCAAGCCCCAGTACCAGCACAAAAATAAATAATAAAATCAAATAGAGAAGCTGGTAATAAAATAATAAAATAGAGAAGCTGTTATTTCTCCTCAGAGCAAACTTTTATATGAAGTAAACTTGAAGAGTGCTTATGACCTGAAAACACTTGGGAACACTCTTGGAGTTGCCACATATAATTCCACTTGAGCATAAAAGCCAAGCTAAAGGCTGTCCTAACCAACCTCACAAGTGACTACCACTTCCCAAAATCTACACTTGCTTCTTTCTCTCTGCTTAGTTTCCTTTGTATTCATTCAAATACAGATTTCCCAGCATAAAACCTACTATCTCTGCTTTTTATCAGCATATGTCCTGAAGTAAAACACGTGATTTTGAATATGGCCAGGAAAAATTTCTAAATCTCTGTTTTTCTCTGGGAAGAGTGATAGAGGGAGAGAAGAGAAGAACAGAGAAGCCCACAGCCATGTAGAATCTCCCCTTGGGTGCTCACTTTTGACTCCCTCTGAAGCACCTGTCCAGCTGTGCTGGTCCAAGAAGTGCTGAACTATGGCACCAGTAAGTGGATGGGGGAAAGTTCTAGACTTTGAGACAGCCACAGACCCTCCCTGGCAGGAAGTGGTGAGTCAGTCTTTTGCTCCTGACCTTCAGTAAGTTTATTTTGAAACAGGAATGGAAGTGGGTAAGCAAAGTGGCTAGGAAGACTCAATGAGATGATGCGTGTCCTAGAAAAATGTCCTATATGTGAGGAAGAGAGCTGCTGAGCAGAATTTAGAAATAATCACGGAAAATCATTACACACTACATTAGCACTGCTGCTCTCACCCTTCTTCTTCTCAAGTGTCTACTGTTAACGCTGCCCTGTTCTTTGGGCTTCTTTCTTTCTTCTTCATTCATCTGCTAGGTATAACCATCATTTATCAAGCATCTATTGAGTGCTGGCTCTAGGGAAAGTATATAGGACGCCATTTTACAGATGGGCAGTCCAGAAAAAGTAACCAGAGTTATACAGCTAGTTATTTAGTGGCTGTGGAAGATCTTCTGACCTTTCAGTTAGAAAGTCTGAAAATACCAACTCTGCCAAGTCTATTTGCCAAATAGCACTTCTCTGACTTGAAGATTTATTTCCTAGCAATGTGCCTAGGCCACTCCTTTCCCAGGACTCTTTCTCTTATACACTGTGGAATCCTAGGACAGATGGAGGACTGATATTTTTTGCTCCATATCTATCATGTCAAATCTTATTTCCACTACAAGGCCGAGCTTAAGTCCAAGCTCACCCTACTGAGGATGAGTGCATTATAAAGGCATTTGCTTTCTGTCTCCAGCCAATGAGCACAATGCTCAAGCATAATAAGAGCTTTCCAGGTGATTAAAAAATACTAAGAATGTTCCAGCTTAGCCAGAGAAGCTTATTCTGGTGCTCGAGGAACAGCTGTAGACTTAACTAGCTATGTCCTTGGGTAAGTTAGTTAGCCTTGACAAACTTCACTCATTTAAATTGTCAGATCAAGATATCAATAATGGAGATGTCAGTTTGTTAATCTATCTCCCACTTCTATTCTCAGCCAAATATACAATCTCCTTAGAGTAATACAAAGATTGAGAAGGTACATTGCATTCAATGAAGATGCTACCATGAACCCCCCCTTGAAGAGCTAATGTATGCTAATAAAAATCTATATTTTTAAAAAAATTAAGTTTACCTGGGCACTACTGCCTCATACCTTCTCAGGAGGCTGAGAGCTAAGAAGGGCAGTTCAAAACAAGCCAAGTCAGGAAATCTGTGAAATGCAATTAACCACCAAAAAGCAATAGTAAAACTGCAGCTCAAGTGGTAGAGTGCTAACCTTGAGTGAAAAAGCTCAGGGAACATGTCCAAGACCTGAGTTCAAGCCACAGTACCAGGACAAAACACAAGTCTCTGCTGATTTAAGATGTCCATAGAGCCTTTGTGCAGGGTATGATGGGCTTATATCAGGACTTCTACTGTGAGCTAGATCATTAAATCATAGTAAATCATAAAATAGTTACCCCAGAGTTTGTCACATATAGAAAACAATATGTTATTATTATATCTCAGAAAATATGAGTTTGTACTGTATTGTACCAAGGGACCATTTATACCTCTTGATAAGGCATCCTTAAATGAGTCACTCATAATCTAGTCTATTCTTACTTGGAGATGAAAACACTCAATAACAAACTGTTTGAGAATAACAAAACCCCCTTACAAATACGTCTTAAGAGAAAAAAAATTCTTTATGTCTGGTTCTATACCCCGGAGTTGTCAGTGTCTTAAATGACTAAATCAGGAGTAAAAAAAAAAATCGTAAATTGCATTTAAATGCCTGTGGAAAGAGCCTCTAATGCAGCCCTTAAGACTTTCAAGATGGAAAGCAGAGATGGAAATATGTGAGACAGTTAAGTGTTCCCTGATGTTCTTTCCAGCCTCCCACCAGCGGCCTTGGTTGCCTCGGGGCAAAGCTCTTCTGCTTGTTCATCAGATTGAGCTCTGGCTGCCAGGACTGAGAAGAATTTCCTTAAAAGGATTTAAAAGCTCAAAAGAGGGGCTAGGCATGGTGGCTCACAGCTGTAATCCTGGCAGATAGGAGGATCATGACTAGAGGCCAGCCAAAGCCGCCCCCCCCCCACACACACACAAAGGGTGAGACAAATCTCCAAAAAAAAGAAAAAAGAAAGAAAGGAGTCTGGGGGAAAGAGGCAGACAGGATGGGGGACAAAGATGAAAGGGAAAACTGATCAAGACATACTGAACACACAGACCTGCTGATTTGTAACTCCCTGTATAACCATTTGAAGTTTATGGGGGGAAAAAATTAAGCTGGGTTTGGTGGCACATATCTAAAATCCCAGCTACACAGGAGGCAGAGGAGGAAGATCTTGCTCCAAAGCCAGCCCCCTAGCAAAAGCCTCTTTCTGACAAATAAAAGCAAAATGGGGTGGGGGCATGACCTAAGTAGTAGAGTGCCTGTCTAGCAATCAAAAGTTCTCAAATTTACACCCTTGGACCACCACCAAAAAAGGTCACACCTTTAGTCCTAACTACTCTGGAAGCTGACATTGGGAAAACCAAGGTTCAAGGACAGCCTATTCAGAAAAGTTTGTGAGATCCCTTCCCAAAGAAGAGCTAGACCTGGTTTATCATAAGGAGATCATGCCCAGGTGCATCCAGACAGGAAGTGAGACTCTTAACTCAAAAGCAGTCAACAAAAAACAGAGGCATGGCTCAGAAGTAAGAGCACTTGCTAAACAAACACAACGACTGGAGTTCAAACCATAGTACCACCCCCAAAAATAAAAAGCTCAAAAGAAGCAATGCATCATTAGTTATAGTTCAGTAACAGAAGACTCTTCAGCCCAAAACAAACAAACAAACAAACAAACATAGCAGGTGTCAGTGACAGTTGAGGTGGTTTTCAAATGCTACATGTGTTCTGGAGAATGTGATCCTCAGGAGAATTCTACAGAGTCCAAAAAACAATTGAAAAAAAATAAAACAGAGTGAGACTGCTGTTGGTTACGACGAGGAGTTGCGTTCGCATTTATAAAACTGGGCTCTGGGTTTGACTCATGGTCATCTTCACGGGCAGATAGATGTAGATGGCAAACCTCCGGGAAGCAGAGTAAGTTTTAGTCTGATTTGCTCATTGCTGGATCTTAAGCAAATAAAACAGGTCCTGACACATAGTAGGCACTGGGTATTTGTGTCATAAATCATGGGTTCCCCAGGTATATAAATCACTTTCTAAGGTTGCCTTGGGTAAATGTCCCCTTCCCTGTGTGAGCTTGGTTTTTCGAGGGCGAGGCTAGACGGATACCAGCATCCTGGCAATGGTCAATTACAGGCACAATGGCAGGAAATTGGGCTTCGGGCCCAAAGGGACAGAATGCTTAGCGTTACAATGGTGCTGATGAAAAGCAGCAGGTACAGCGCACTGGGTCTGCTCAGGTGGAAGACCTCCCATGTCACGCTCTGCTCTGTTATTTTACAAATCAATTCGGAATTTCCCGCAGCCAAGCCAATGGCTGCCTTTCAGCCGTCAGGTGCCACTGTGCAGATAATAAGTTTCTTCATTGCTGCTCATCAGATGGTATCATTTTACCCATGGCTGCTCAAGCATCTTTGGCTTCCCAAATCCCAGAGCAAATGTGTAAATGAATAGAGCCTGAACAGCACAAAATTACACTCTCTTTCCCACAATGGGGTGCGAAGGCACAGCAGGTGAAGGCTGCTGCCGGCCCTGGACAGGCGCGGAGCCCCTCTATCCTCAGGCACAGAGAGAAGCGGGAGGGAGATGGAAGGATCCGTTTGCAATAGTCAAAGGCAGCTCTTCATGTAATTGGATCAGGCACCCAATCCAAGAAGATGCCACGTGGTTTAAGCAGACAACAGCGAAGAGAAAAGAAAAGGTCGGCGTAGCAGGACCATGGGAACATTGCCTAACAGTCCCTCATTCAGGCATTAGTCTTTTCAATCAAACCGCCAAAGGTCTCATCCCTGTTCTGTGAAGCCAAGATGTAGAACCTCAGGTCAGAGACCTGAACCCTCAAAAAAAACAAGCTACACATTTACCTTGGATGACCCAGGGAAGAACAATGAACTAGAAGGCTAGAGTCCTGAACGCTGCGGCTCAGTCAAGGCCCAGTGAATGACGCAGAACTAAGAATCCTCTCTTGCTTACTGTAGAGCCGTTGTGTGAGGCCTCTGCTTATGAAAGTGCTTTGAAGAGGGTAGAGGAGAAGCAGCAATCATGTCCAGCATTATCAGAGGATGATGAGCCCTCAAGCCTGCATCATCACCAGCCCCGGTTCAACCAAACCTGTTCTATGACCAAGTCCTAAATTCCATCCTTATATGGGATAGGATCGCTCTCAAACCAGCTGCAAGCCACCAAACCTCCTCTCCCACGGGTGGCTATGACCAGCTCCTTGTGTGCAGAAATAAGGCCCTGCATGGAGCCCCCCGAGGCTCTCTGGGACTCACAATCCAGCCGCCTCCATCCGTATCCATGTCACAGTACACCTGCATGGGCCGGCTCGCGTCGCCATTGAGGTAGATGGTGTAGAGGCCGCTGGCAGCGTTGCTGTTCTGCTGCACCTGGGTGCAATCCGAGGGGTGTGGGAAACGGGCATCAACTGGGAGCCAAGCAGAGCGACAATGTCATTAGAACAAAGGCGAGGAAGAGGGCGGGTAGGGCTTTTAGCCGCTTTTCTATGTGTAGGGCTATTTGTTTTGTTGGGAAACTATTTCACAACCTTCTCCTATTTCACTCCCCTCAGCTCTTCAGTCTCACTCACTCTGTCCACCTCCAACACTGCAAATCCCCAATCCATCACTCCCACCCCCAACTCAATCCTCCCACAACACACCTTATTCTCCAGTTCACCCTCCTCCTTAGAGATAAATTCCCTTTGAACCAATAACTCCATCTTCACTTGCCCAAGCCTCAAAAACACCACCCTAAGCCTGCATCTACTTGCTCCTTCCTGGCTTCTCCAATGAGGATCCTCTAGTGCGCTGTCCCCTCAAAACTGGATTCTGTGTTACCTGTGGAGAGGGTGGTGGACACACTCTTGCTCCGGCGATCGCCCTTAAAGGCAACCAAAGAGGCAGGGTAGGTGACGCCCTGCTCCAGGCCTTGCAACTCAAACCTCTGCTCGCCCCTTTGGAGCCTCACCTCCTGCCAACCAACAGAGAAGATGGTGAGGGATTCAGTTTCTTTAACAGAGCACTCCCTGATACGATGGACAGAGGCCTCCTAGGATTCACAAGGCAGCCCCAAGTCACAGTCCATGCCAGATACTGCTGTGCTATGCAGATTCAGCACTGCCAAAAGGCACACGCCCCGGCTGGCACCAGCCAGCTCTCCGGCCTTCACATGCTGACTATAGCCACAGATGCTAAAAAGGGAGAGAGAACGAGTCATGGATTATCTGAGAGAGTGGGCAATAGTTGGTATTTTAATAAATCCTCATGAAACCTGCCTTATTTCCTCTCTAAGCTAACTCACCTGGCAGGACTGTCATAAACATTCACTGTCGTAGTGACTACATCCAAGCATCCTGCCTTTTTTGACTTCTCCTTTCTTTCTTCCTTGCTAAGGAAAAAGAATTATAATTTTCTACTCTAGGAAGTTTACAAAAATATTCTGGCTTTCAGATTCAAGAAGAAAGTAAGACTTTGGAAATAAGGGTTAAACCAATTCATTCAATCATTCACTAAATACATGTGTGGTAACACATATGTATTTTAGCCACTTGTAATCTTAGCCATTTGGAAAGATGAAGCAAAAGAATTACAAGCAGGAGGACTACAACTTAGTTAGAATGACAACATTGCATTTAAAAGAATAAAGAGATGTAGCTCATTAGTAATTACTGAGCTTGTGCAACCCTCAGTTCACCCAGTACCAGAAAAAAAAAAAAGAATTACTGAATGCCTACCATGAGCCAAATCTTCTCTAAGCATTTTACATCCAATGACAAACAACAAAAACAAAGCTTCTCAGACTTCCTGGAACTTACATGTATTGACCGACAATGAATTTTAAAAAAGAGGGCCAGAGGTATAGTTTAGTGGTAGAACATTTTTTTTTGCTACCACTGCAGTTTAATTCCCCAGAACCAAGAAAAGGAAAAACAAAGCACGACCCAAAACAGAGAAACAGGCTCTGGTAGCTCATGCCTGCAATCCAAACTATTCAGGAGACCGATATCTGAGATCAGTGTTGCAAGGCAGCCTGAGCAGGAAAGTATGTAAGAATTTTTATCTTTAATTAACCACCAAAAAGTCAGAAGTGAAGCTGTGGCTCAGAGCACTAGTCTTGAGCACGAAACCAGTGGTCAACAAGGAACAGGAACAAAGGTTAGTCATTACCAAGAGCCATAGTGTTCATGAATGACTGTGTTTATCACTGCCGCTTGCTCCTAGCAAGCTCCTAGTAATCGATAAGGATCAACAGATTGATTGGTAGCTTTCCATAAAGCCAGCAATCAAGCTGATCTGTCTGCGTCAGCTGCTTCACAGAGAGGTTGTAAAAATTTTTTTAATATTTTTTAAAGACACCAAGAGAAAGATCAGGAATATGGAGTACCTTCACTGTCCCATTTGGAAACTGGTAGGTGAGAATGTAGCCATCGATCTGAGCAGTGGGGGACATCCAGGTCAGCACCCCACCAGAGTGTGTGACACCAAACGGACGGAAGTTTCTGGGAGGGTCGATTTCTGCAAACAAAAAGTCATGTAATTATTATTATTGAAATACGACAGAGACGGTGATTTGTTTTAGGCCATCGGTTTCAGTTTTCTCCCTGGGTATCTTCTCATTTCTTTTCCTCTCTGCAGCCAGAGTGAGTTCCGCTTTTCCTGCCTACAAAGCCTCCCTGACCATAGCTACCAAAAGACAAAGCCACTGAGGACAAGATGGTTAGGGAATAGGACTGAGTGAGCCCTGCAGGGAGAGAAGTTGAAATCCTAAGACCCCAGAAAATTCCCAGAGCATGGTGAACACTGAGCAGGTGGGTTCTCAGAGATGATGGAGGCCTACAGCCACAAGAAAAAGTTGGGAGCCTTTGATCTTAAAAGTTCCTGCACACAGAACAGAAGGAGGACTGTGCAAACAGGTGCCTGGAGAAACAACAAAGGCCCAAACACATCTACACCTGGGGAAGAGGCAGGACTGTAAAGGTAATGAGATGGCTGACCAACTGATGCCCTTCATCTCTAACAGAAATTAAGCTCACACAGAAATATAAATGTATATCTAAAGTATCTCAGTGAAAGACCGCAATGCATGACGGGCATAGAAATAAGGGAGGACGGTGCTTGTACAAAGAAAGAAGTGGGGAGAGCTGAGTGCAGTGACACAAACCTGTAATCCTAGCTTCTTAGTAAGTTGAGATCTGGAATCACAGTTCAAAGCTGGCCAGCATGAAAGTTCTCAAGACTCCATGTCAACCGATGACGGGGTGTGGTGGTACACACCTGCCAGTCGAGCTATGGGGAAAGCACTACTGGCAAGTGTCTGCCATGCCCAGTGATCCAGAGAAGCCCATTTAGGAGGACAAAAAGTAAAATTCTGCCTCATAAAGATTCTACCACTGGACACTGGTGGCCCACACCTGGAATCCTAGCTACACAGAGCCCGAGAGCTGAAGATTCTGGTTCTAAGCCAGCCTGAGCAAGAAATGCTATGAGACTTCTATCACCAATTGACCACCAAAAAACACAACAACAACGGAAGTGGAGCTGTGGCTCAAAAAGGTAGAGTGCTAGCCTTGAGCAAAAAAATATCCAGGAACAGTGCCTAGGCCCTGAGTTCAAGCCCAGTGACCACCACCATCAACACCAAAAGATTCTATCTCTATAAAAAAAAAAAAAGGGCTAGAGATACTGCTCAAGTGGTAAGCACAAGACCCTGAGTCCAATCCCTAATACCACTAACAGAAAGAAAAGAAAAAAGAATGACGAGGAAGGAGATTTGAAGAAAAGAGCTGTGCTTTTCTTGTAAATACTCCCCCACACAGACACCAGAGAGTGTGCGTGGTGATAAGCACATGTACATAGACTAGGAAAATTAAAGCTCAACAGAAACACCAGTCACCCTGTAATAACTGGTCAGACAGCTTACTTTTTTAACTGAATAAGATATGAATGGAAATTTCCATTTTGAAGAAACATTATCATAGAAGGCAATTTTAATTTAGAACTTCCCCAAAAGACATCTCCAGGCTATTTTCTACCCAGTAGCCTTTCAGCTGAGAACTGAATGAAAGTGTTTTAATAGAAATCAGACAACTGTTGTTTTAAATTAAGTTGTTTTGACGAATTTTTGACTTTCTGTACTATCAGCTTGGTTTTTCTAAAGTATAACATCTGGCACAGATCTTATTCTATTTCTCACATGGGGGAAAAAAGCCTGAATTTCCTTTCATAACCAAAGTGAATTTTTAACCATTTAAAAACCTTGAGTTGTGTTCTATCATTTCCTTGCCTACCGGTTCCCTGGCCACGGACTGAACAATGTTTATCTCGGTCACTTTCGCATTTCTATGAAGTCAAAAGATGAGCATTTCATTATTGCCTTTTTAAATGAGGAAAGTGATATGAACAAGGAAAGGAATGGAGAAATGGAGAAGAAAAGAAGGAAGGGAGTGAGGACAGAGGGAGGCACCAGCTACTGTTTGTCTCAGAGAGTCAGATGGTGTTCTTGCGAGTGTGGACAGGGGAAAGAGGAACTTTGTTTTTATGTGTGGAGGTTCGTTGGTTCATTACTGATACCAGGGTTTGAACTCAGGAGCTCCCACTTGCTCTGGTTGCTTGACTGGTACTCTACAACCTGAGCCACATCTCTAACCTGGCCTTTTGATGATTTGGAGATGGAATCTTGTAGACTTTTCTGCCCAGGCTGTCTGTGAACTATGATCTTTCGGATCTCAATTTCCTGAATAGCTAAGATGACAGGCATACGCTACTGGTACCCAGGTTGTGTTTCCATTTTTGGATATTTTTGTTTAATTTGAAGGGTGTTTTTTTTCCATAAAACACATATTAATTCGGGAGTTACAAATCTGGCTAATTTTAACAATAATACCTATAAAGAAATTAAGGTACTGCTAACTCCAGTGACCTCTGTTGGTACAACTGACTCCAGAGGGAACAAACCATGGCCAGTGCCTTAAAAAAAAAAAACCCACACATCTCCAGGCTGCACTGAGGCCTAACTGCTTGATACAAGCTGAGACCAGCAACCACGTCACGCATAGAAAACATATGCAGCTGGACACCTTTGGTGACAGGCTGGCGGTGGCAGAGAGAAACATGCTTCACCCACTACCCGCATCATGAAAGATGCTCTGCTTTATTTCATTCCATTTGCCACATCAAAGTGTTAGCTCAAGAAGGCAAATAAGCAACTACTTTGAGGAATGTCCTCAGGTGAAGCAACCACCCTCTCTGTTCCTCGCCCCATGTGAGTTATGAAGGGAGACTCACTCTTTTTCCTTTTTCTTTTTTGTCAGTCATGGGGCTTGAACTCTGGGCCTGGGCGCTGTCCCTCAGCTCTTCAGCTCAAGGCGAGCACTCTACCACTTGAGCCAAACCACCACTTCCGGTTTTCTTGTGGTTCATTGGACATGAGAGTCTCACGGACGTTCCTGCCTGGGCTGGCTTTAAACCGTGATCCTCAGATCTCAGCTTCCTGAGTAGCTAGGATTACAGGCGTGGGCCACCAGTGCCTGTCAAGACTCACACTCTTGGTAAGTATAAAGATTTCTCACAGTACCTGTCAGGGCCTTAGTGTCAGCCTTCTTGCTCTCCCGGGCTCCCTTCTTGGCCCACACATGGACCGTGTACTCCACGCCCGGCCTCAGGCCTGTGAGGATGGTGCTGCTCTGATCCTTTGGCACCGGAGCCTCCCTGGTCTCTCCATCCGCAGAGGTGTAGCGCACCATGTATCTGTCAATGTTGGCGCGCACTGGCTCCCAGGAGATGGTGGCTGTTGTCTCTGTCACTCGGTTAGTCACCAGATTTTTGGGGCTGTCAATTTCTTTTAGAAAGATTTAGGGAAAGTTGCCATTAGAACCGAAAGAGGGTGTCTCATTATTGCATCTTCAGGAGCTCTCTACTTGAGTTAGTATTAATTACAGTATAATTCCATTTAAAATGGGGTTTTCATTTCCCAGGAAACAAGCCATAGGGATATTGGAACTAGAAGGAACTGGGTCACCTCTTTGTTTATGAATATGGAAATTTTCTGTCCTTTTATAGTTCTCGTCAAAATAAGCAATTAAAATCTAGTGTTGGCCTTCAGTGGTAGAAGGTAGATCTCCCGTAGTAGATCTCCATGGTACTTAGCTATGTTCCACTAACTTTGAGAAGTAAGGCATACCTTCTTTCCTTCTTGACATATAAGGGAAGAAAAATGGAAGCCCAAAGAAATGAAGATTCTCAGCAAAGTTGCTGTTGTTTTCTTATGTTCAAACCAAGGCTAGACCCTCTTTGCCTTGAAATTCATGCCTTCCACTTTCTCAAAGACTTTGCTCCTTTCATCCAGCCTCTCCCTCCTGCATCCGTAAGGCTCTTCTTCTCTATCATCAGCCCCAGAAAAGAAAGCTCTAGGCTCTGCCATTCCTCCCCATACCATCCTTTGCACCTTCCAAGTGTCAGGTTTAAGCGAAGGGTCTGAGTATCTTAATTTCACTCACCTCTCATTCACTAAATTCAGCCATGTTTGGCAGCTATCTATACCATACCATTAAATCTGCTAGACTAGGTCACTAGCAACTTCTGCATCCAGGCTCTTGAATAGGTAAAGAAGATCTACTTCCTCCTTGGTTTTCATGACTACACTCCTAATCCACTGTCTCTTCCTCCTCAGTCCTTGGTTAGTAATCTTTATATGTTGGAGTATCCAAAGTTCCCACTTCTCTCTGTTCATTTTTCCCTAGGAGATGTCACCGAGTCTAAGCTTGAAATGCCAACTAGATGTTCATTGTTCCACAGAAGTATCACTTCTGAGCCCCTGGCTTGGATCAACTATTACATATCCACAGCGTGCCTGGACTGTGTTACACAATCATTAAATATTTATGAAATTAATAAATTATCAGCTAACCAAGGAATTTCAGAAGTATCTTGAATTTAAATATTTAACAAGTTTGACATTCCTTTTCAAACATATACCTCTCAGCCTCTTTACTTTCTTAAGAAATGAATCTGCAGGGCTAGGAATGTGGCTCAGTGGTAGAGTGCTTGCCTAGCACACATGAAGCCCTGTGTTCGATTCCTCAGTACCACAAAGAAAAGCCAGAAGTGGCGCTGTGGCTCAAGTGGTAGCCTTAAGCCAAGGAAGCTCAGGGACAGTGCTTAAGCCCTGAGTTCAAGCCCCAGGACTGAAAACAAAAAAGAAAATGAAACTACAGTCTTACACATGGCTCAAATCAGAAGCACAACCAAGACGATTCCTCATTTTCTTCTTGTCCCACATCTCTTCAATCAGCTATTATTATCATTTATGCCCCCAAAACATAGCCTCCGACATCCTCTTCTTTTTTGTTGTTGTTGGTCAGTCATGGGGCTTGAACTCTGGGCCTGGGCACTGTCCCTCAGCTCTTCAGCTCAAGGTAAGAGCTCTATCACTTGAGCCACAGCACCACTTCCAGTGGTTAACTGGAGATAAGAGTCTCTTGGATGTTCCTGCCTGGGCTGGCTTTGAACCATGATGCTCGGATCTCAGCCTCCTGAGTAGCTAGGATTACAGGCGTGAGCCACCAGCGCCCAGCCTCAGTCTATTTCCACTTCTATCCAAATCATTACCACTTCTCATCAGATTTGACAATGGCCGTTTCACTACCCTTCCCCCTTCTACCCTCTCATCTCTTCCACTTATTCTTGTTACTGTGAAGAGCAATATTTTTATAAATTATTTTCCTGCATCACATCATATCATATCTTAATAAATATGCTTTCTCTTTCCCATATAGTCTTGTATGGCCTGACTCTCAACGGTGCTGCTCCAAAGTTACCAGCCTCTTTTTCAACTATCTCATGTGCCACACCAGTGAGAGAGCAGCACAGATGCCTGCTCTACTGCCCCTCCTACCCACCTTCCGCTTCCTCTATAAGCATGTTGTCCAATAGGCATCCCTGCGGTAATGTACGCTTTCTGTACTCTGCACTGTCCAGTTCCATAACCATTCACCACATGTGGTTGTTGACTGAAATACCATTGGTCTGACTGCGGAAATGATTTATTTTACTTCATCAAAATTTAAATATGGCCATTTAATTTTACAGGACATTATAGCAGAAGTTACAGCTGGATACATGACCATCCATCTGAAAACCTCATTTCCCAACCTCCCTTGTCATGAGGCCTGGCACTGTGAGATCTGACAGTGAAATAGGGGAAGAATTGATGTGTGTAATATTTCAGTTGTGCTCTAACCTCTTCCTTGCCCCTTCTCACTGGGCAGAATGCAGAGAGGGTGGGTACTATGTAAATGAGTGCAACTCTATGTAAATGAGCAACAACCTACAAGGAGCTGGGTTTCCTGTATCAGAGAGCTGCCATCAGGCCTAACCTATAGGATTAGCCCTTCAGCTGTCCCGTTTCCAAAGAATAGGACTCATTACCTGTGGGAGCCTTTGTGTCAGCCTTCTTGCTCTGCCGGGACCCTTTCTGGGCCCACACATGGACCGTGTACTCCACGCCCGGCCTCAGGCCGGTCAGGACAGTGCTGGTCTTCTCCTTCCTCACTGGAATCTCCCTGGTCTCTCCATCGGGAGAGGTGTAGCGCACCATGTACCTGTCGATGTCTGCCTGTACTGGGTCCCAGGAGATGGTAGCTGTGTTCTCTGTCACTTGGTTGGTCACCAGGTTTTTGGGGCTGTCAATGTCTACAAGGAAAAGTACTCATCAATTTGGGCTGTGAACAGGCCAAGGGCCATACTGCCTGAAGTGAGATTCTTTTATGGTTTATCTTTTTTTTTTCTTTGTAAATAAATGTTTGGTGGTACTGGGGTTTGAACTCAAGACTTTGCGCTTGCTAGGCAGATAATCTACTGATAAGACAGACCTCTAGGCTTATTTTTGTACTGGTTATTTTGGGAATAGGGCCTCACTTCCTGCCCAGAAAAAAAAATCACTTATTTTTCACTTCCTTCCATAGCTAGGATGAAAGGCACACAGCACCCTACCCAACTATTGGTTGAGAAGGAGTCTCATATGTGTGCCCAAACCAACCTCGAGCTACAATCCTGATCTCAACCACCCAAGAAACTAAGATTGCAGGTGTGAGCCACTAGCTCCCAGCTTGTTTTAATTTTCTGCCTTTATTTCCTCAGGTAGAAATCCCAAGAGACTAGAATTTGACAACTTAATCCCTGACCTCTATTAAAAACTTTACAAAATGAATCTGCCCATTTAGCAAGCTATATGGAATCCCAATTCTGTAGAAGACATGTCTGAGGCAGTGAGCAGAGTTAGGCACTGGACTCTGCCTAAAAGGAGTGCCCAATTTTGTGTTCACCACCAATGGGCAATGAAGACTTCCAGCATATACTAGAAGATTCTGAAGTCCAGGTCCAAATGCAAGCTCCTAGAAGAAGAAGTGCCTGGGAAAACCTCCTATTTTCTTCTGTGTTCCTAGTGCCCAGTAAAAGACAAGGCACAGGGCAAGTGCTCAGTCCATATTATTAAGTAACCCAGCAAAAAGTAAGGCCTGTTTTCCTCTTCTTCAGCAAGCATGGATTCCCTTGCTGGTTTGATAGTTGCATCACTGTACAAAAATTGGGTAGACACCTCTTTTACACTCCTAAGAAAGCAACACATGAGCTATCCTATCTCAGAACCCTGACTGACTTACACTTCATCATTCTACAGAGTGAACTATACTGTTTAAGTAACTTGTATCTGGGAGTTTCCATCCGTGTCTATTCTTTTGCTACTTACCCATCCTACCTACAAAACTCTACTCTGCATCTAGCCAAGGTATATCTCACTAATAGAATGAACCACCATTAAAGATTATAAAGTTGGTCTATGTACTATGACCCATTTGTAATAAATTAAACCACACACATCACTATGGCACACGTAAAATCTATATTCATCTTAATAGTGTGTATTCATTGTAGAAAGGGGTTTCATCATAGTGTTTTACTTTGATCATAGTCACACCTTGAGTACTCTTTCTTTTGTAGAATATATATTATTAAGGTCAAACTTCTAATATATTATTAACAATGATGTGAGATTTTCTTTTCATGTTTTGCTCTACTCACAAACTCACTAAGGCACAATAAATACTGTCCAAAAGATCCACGGACTCTGAAGAGCAGCTGTAAATACAACTATCAGAAAGAGTTTAGGTGTGGGGATGTGAGGGAAAAAGTAGGAGAGAGTAAGGGAAGGGGTGATACTGTCCAAAACAGAAATGTACTCTTTATCTGACTTATGTAAATGTAACCCTTCTGTATATTATCTTTATAAAAACAATTTAAAATTTTTTAATTTTTTTTTTTAAAAAAATCAGCTCAGACACTAGGGTCTGACTATGAAGGAAGCTGGTCGAGGGGAAATGAGAAAGACTATGTAGAGTCAATGTATGAACTGACACTGTCCTGCCCTTCTGTATCCCATCCATCTCCACCCATAGGAGGAAAAACAAAACATACTCAGTGCAGACAGCATGGCAGGCATTACTGTCACAAAAACGATGTCCGTTACCTGTAGGGGCCTTGGTGCTGGCCTTCCTGCTCTCCCTGGCCCCCTTCTGGGCCCACACATCAAACTTGTAGTCCACGCCTGGCCTCAGGCCTGTCAGGACGGTGCTCCTTTCATCCTTCCCAATCAGAAATTCCCTGGTCTCTCCATCCGCAGAGGTGTAGCGCACCACATACCTATCAATGTCAGCCTCCACAGGGTCCCAGGAGACAGTGGCACTGTTCTCCGTCACCTGCTTAGTCACCAGGTTTTTGGGGCTGTCAATGTCTACAAGGAAAAGTGCTGATCAATAAACACTTGTAACAGACACAAAAGAGAGGCCGTTTTACTTGGACTAAGATAGTTTCCTGTTCTTAAGATTTTTCCCATCTTGTATTTTTTTTTATTGTTTCATGGACATAGAGCTTGTCTCCACAGTTGGATTCTTGGATGCCCATGAAGGCAGCTTGAGACAGTGGAATGAGCCACACAGAGTTGGGACTGGGTTCCAGTATTAGCCTGAGAGGAAGAGCTGAGGGGAAAAATGCATATTGGGCTCCAGTCATCAGATCATGAGTTTTACTCCAGCTGTGTCACCGGCCTCAACGCACCTGCCTCTGACTACACCTTAGCTTTCTCATCTGTAAATGCGGGCCTTATAGATTAAACATATCTTACAGCTACATTCATGTTTCTGAATATCTCAGGAAGAAAACCCGACAAGTCTTTAGCTAACTTTGTCACTTGCAGAAATTATACACTTCACTATATTTGAGGACTTTGCCTGCAAAATTAGGAACCTTGGTTCCTGGTCTAAACGTCTCTGAGGACCAAGTAAATGAAGAAAAGAATCCTCCTTCATTGCTGATGGATATGCAACACAGTGTACCCACTGTGTTGGGTAGAATGATCCAGAAACTCTACACCAAGATATCTATGTCTCCGTAAAAACTGACATGACATGCTCATCTCATCGTTACTCACAATAGCAGAAGAGTGGCAGCAACTCAGGCTTATTCATTGAAAAATGGATAAACAAAGGTGTGTATCCAAAAATGAAATATTCATTTGCAATAAAAGTAAGTATAGATCCACGCTAAAACATGGCTGAACCCAGAAAACATGCTTCCTGAAAGAGGTCAGTCACAAAATACATATATTGGGAGATGCCGTGTATAAGTAATTTCCAGTACAGGAAATTAATACAGATAGACAGCAGTCATTATGGAAGCCTGGAAGTACTGAGCACAGAAGTTGCTGGGAATGGACATAAGGTTCTTGTTGCTGGTGAAATAGACAGTGGTAATAGTTGTACAACTTGGGGTGGAGGCAGGCTCACCAGCAGTGCGCCAGCCTAGCAAATGTGACACTGAGTTCCATCCTAATCCTGAGAGGAAGATGACAGGAGTGCAACTCTACAAACATCCTAAAACTGCTCTATGTGCTCTTGAAGTGGGCGAATTCTATTGTAGGTAACTATGTTTTCATACGGCTGTTCTTAAGAAATGAGGAAACCTAAGATGGAAAAGCTTTAACATTGAGAAGTTATTGTATATAATTGTAACCGTAGGATTTTTAAAGTGCAGTCTACAGTATTCAAAGTAGAATTTGTCTACCAATAAAGCATAAGCCCTCTTGACCTAACACATCACAGCAAAAGCCATTTCCCTACAGTACTTAGCTCATCAATCCTAACTTACATGGCTTCTTTAAACATTTTCCTTTTCAAAAGGAATATTTTGAGATTGTTCAGAAAGAAAATACAATTGGAAAAACAGTGGATGGATGTACCAAACACCACTAATCGTGTATGGGTGTGCCTGTAGTGGAGCTTAACCTCCAGACCCTATGTTCTTGCTTCGTTTTTTCGCTCAAGGGTGGTACTCTACCACTTAAGTCATACTTCTACTCCTGGCTGCTTAAATGGAGATAAGAGTCTCTCTGATTTGTTTGCCTGAGCTGGCTTTGAACCTTCATCCTCAGATCTAGGCTTCCGAACAGCTAGGATCACAGTTGTGAGCCACCAGCATTCTGCTACCATTATCTTCATGAGACAAAAATACAAGGCTGCTGCAGGAGCATGATGGTCCCAGCACCGAGGACAATGAGGCAAAAGAATAACCAATTGTAGGCCAGCATGGACTACACAATGAGTTCCAGCCACTCTGGGATCTGTAGGAAGATGCTGTCTCCAAAAATCCAGCAAAGCAACAACTATGAGGCTAATAATATGAGATAATGTGCTCTCGGACATTGAGAGACCCAATGGGTACTATGACCAAAGTCTACCATCCCGCTCTTCCATTGATCATTGATTGCTGCCAAGGACCCAGTAGGAAAATTAAATATCTTCCCACAGGCTTACCATGACAGGTGTTAACATTCTCAAAGGGCAAAGTTGTTTACCTGTGGGGGCCTTGGTGCTGGCTTTCCTGCTCTCTTGGATCCCTTTCTGGGCCCACACGTCGAATTTGTACTCCACGCCTGGCCTCAGGCCTGTGAGGATGGTGCTGCTCTTCTCCTTGTCCACTGGAACCTCCCAGGTCTCTCCATCAGCAGAGGTGTAGCGCACCACATACCTGTCAATGTCAGCCTCCACCGGCTCCCAGGAGACACTGGCGGTGTTCTCTGTCATTTGATCAGTCACCAGATTTTTCGGGCCGTCAATGTCTAAAGGCAAAGAACTCGTCAATAAACGCTAGTAACAGGCACAAAAGAGTGAGGAGGTTTCCTGTGCTTACATTCTCCTGTCTCATGCTTGGTTTGCGGTTGTTTCATGCACAACTTCTTCATCTTCTGCTCCTCAAAGAGGTGCACGAGACAGTGGAATGAGTGAGTCTCACATCTGGAGTTAGAGGGGCTGGGGTCTAGTCTCACCCGGAGAGGCACAGTTGAGGGGTAGGAAGTAGCATATCTGCTGGACTCTAATCATCATGAATATTACTCCAGTTCAACCACTGGCTGACACAGCCCTGGACAACTCAGCTGCTTCTGACTACACCTCAATTTCCTCATCTATAATATTTGTTGTAGATTAACACGACCTTAGAGGTACCTTAATATTACTGAATATTTCACAAAGCAAACACCATGAATCATCAGCTAACTATATGAATTTCAGAAACCATGTATCTCTCTGTATTTGGGGATTATCGGCTATAAAATGGGAATATTACCTTTTTTTTCTTCAGTCCTGGGGCTTGAACTCAGGGCCTGGGCTCTGTCTCTGAGCCTCTCTGTGCTCAAGGCTAGAGCTCTACCACTTGAGCCACAGCACCATTTCTGGATTTTTTTCTGAGTAGTATATTGTAGATAAAAGCCTCATGGACTTTTCTACCCTGGCTGGCTTTGAACCATGATCCTCAGATCTCACCTCTTTTGAGTAGCTAGGATTACAGGCCTGAGCCAGCGGCACCTGGCTGTCTGAACTCCTTTTGCACAAATTCAACAAACTCCTCTGGGCCTCAATAACTGAGGACTTTTTCATTGATGGTCATATAAAATTGTGCTATAGTTTTGAAAACATTCTGCAAAATTAGTTAGAATTATTAAATAATTCAACAATTCCACTCTTAGCACATGCCTAAGGGAAATGATGACGTATATGCATGCAAAAACTTGAACACAGGAGACGGGAGAATAGTTAGGTGAGAGAGCACTTGTCCATCATGGACCAGGTCTTGGGATGGCCCCTCAGCACACATATCCCCCCGAAAATAACCTTATACACAAATAGCATCATTATTCATATTAGAGAAAAAAGAAGCAACCCAAATGTCTAACAATTGATAAACAAACGTGCATTTCCACGATGAAATATTAATTCACAATAAAAATTAAGTCTTGATATAAGCTGCAATATGGATAATCCCAGAAAATATGGTTCTAGAAAACATTATGCTTTATGGCAGAAGTCATTCGTAAAGAGCCACAAGTGTATAATTCCATGTAAAGAAAATGTCCAGAGAAAAGAAACCCATGCAGACAGAATGTAGTTGTTATCAGGGCTGGAAAGAGTGGGAAGGGGTGTATTCACTCCATTACTAGTTCTTTTAGAAAGGGACACTGAGAATTATTGTATAGTTCTGTAAATATACTAAGCTAGCTCTATTGTACACTTTAAAGTATACATCCTTTGGGGGCTGGGGGGCTACATTCAGGTTTCCAGGCTTGCTAAGCAGGCGCTCCATCACTTGAGCCATCACACCCGCAGTCCTTGTAAATATATCCTAATGAGGTATACCAAAGGGGGAAACAGATGGAAAAGCCTGCAAATTATGAGCTGTTATTGTCTATAATTGTAAAAGTAGGATCCTCAGAATGGAACTACAGCACACAAAGAATGTATTCACTAAGAAAGCAATAAATCCTTTCCCTAAAATAATTAGGACACATATCCTACCATATATTTTTATGTCTTTTGTTACAAGACAGATATTCTGAGATTGACCAACAAAAGAAGTCCATGATTAGAACAGTGTGAAAATCACCATTAACTCCATTGTTTTGTTTTGCTTCTTCTTGAGGCTGAAGATTCACCCGGGGCCTTACACATGCTATACGAGCACTCTACAGCTACATCTTCAGACTATCTTCAATCTTCATAAATGCCAAAATAAGAGGCTGAAAACGAGGACCTTATTATAAAATAATGTGTTGAAAGAATTGAGAGATTGGTGAGTACTATGACAATATACCATTTAGGTCATCTACAGTGATTGAGGCTTACCAACATCAGAGAAGGAAACCCAAATTTGACCTCCTTTAGGCAAAGGTAATAAATACATGCTGCATTATAAAAGGAGAGTAACAATTACCTGTGGGGGCCTTGGTGGTGGCTTTCTTGCTCTCCCGGGTCCCTTTCTGGGCCCACACTTCGAATATGTAGTCCACACCTGGTCTCATGCCTGTCAAGACGGTGCTGCTTTGATCCTTCCCAACCAGAAGTTCCCTGGTCTCTCCATCAACAGAGGTGTAGCGCACCACGTATCTGTCAATGTCAGCCTCTACCGGGTCCCAGGAGACGGTGGCAGAGTTCTCTGTCACCTGTTCAGTGACCAAGTTTTTCGGGCTGTCAATGTCTAAACAGATAAAGTAGAAATCAGTAATGGGTATAAAAAAGTAATGAGTATAAATGTGTCTGAGTGAATTCCTTTTTCTTATGGATTGCTCATTTTATATGCTGTTATCAACTGTTTCATGAGCATAGACCTCATCTCCACATCTGGACTCCTGGACCCAGAAAAGAGGCGGCACAAGACAATGAAAAGAGCACCAGAGGGCTGGGAAGTTGGCCCAGTGGTAGAGCGCTTGCCTTGCATGCCTGAGGCCCTGGGTTCGATTCCTCAGCACCACATAAGCAAAAAGAAAAAAGC